ATAAAAGACTAATCCATAATAGTATAAATATCTTGATAATTAAAAAAATAAATGGGCTTAAAAGGGCTAGTCCTCAATACTAATGGATTGGCCTTTTTATTTTTAAATCCTAAAAAGCTAATCTTTTTAAACCTAATTTTCTTTTCAATATCCTAAAATGCAAGCCCAATCTTTTACTTAAAAAAGACTTAAACCAACTGGCTTGATAGGCTCGGTCTGTTTTGATGGCTTCCATGAATGCGTACTTTTTCAAAGTGAAGGATGGGGGGGGGGGGGAAAACAAAAGGTCTTTGGGCATGAGGCCTAGTGAAAAATAGATTAGTTGTTGAATATTTTTACCGGACATAAAGAAAACATTTTCGGATCAAAATGACGATGGCATATACCAAGTAGAATAAAATTAAAAATATACCTCCTCTAGCCTCAAATATAACGGTTAGCTAGAGATTAATTTAGTTCTAAATATAAGACTTTAATTTATTTTATTTTTTATATTTATTATTTTTCTCAAAACTAATTTACTTAACTTTTTTTTTGTTAACAATCTACTTAATTTATAAACTGATATAATGTAATCAATGTTGTATGATGATATTTTGGGGAGTCACACCAAATTTGTTATAATTAACTAATTTATTTAGCTTATTTATTCTGTTCAGATTAATTAAGTAACTCTTATATTATAAGAGTAAATGGAGTACAACCAGTAAATAAGAATGTGCTCCTAGATATTTTTGTAGAAACTAGAAAGTTAATTTTGAATTGATAAGAGTTAGTCTAATTGGTAAAAAGTCAACTTATAACCCGCAAGGTCCTGAGTTTAAATTTCATTACCGATGTGAGGACTTTGTTGGTATACGATTTATAAGTATCTCTGTAAATGTTTTGTGTGCTTAGAGGTATGTTCTGACCCTGGTGAGCCCCCGAGACTCAACTTACCTCAACTTTTTTTTCAACAAAAAAAAAAGTGAATTTTGAAATTTTGCCTCTCTAATTTAATATTTTAAACCCATTAAAATCAAATGCAAATAAATAGTTGGATTTAAGGAATTTTTTTCTAATTGATACTTTAGCAAATAAACTTTAAGGTTTAACATAAATTACGGTGCAAGAAATTTGGTCCCTCAAATTTTAAACTTGTAATTTTAATTCCTAGAATTTAATCTGTTTTAAAGTGTTAGTCCCTAGAGAAGTGTGACAGCATTAAAATTTGCTAAGTAAATGGCGTTAAAGTGATGATGTTGACTTATCAAATAGAAACTAACTAGATTTTATATGGATAACAACTAAAAAAAAGAACATGTCCTTAAAACACAATAGGGAAATGAGTTCTCAAAACACAGCATTGTGAGCAACTCCTCAAAGAAATAACGAAAAGTTGCTACCAATTTAATTAATGGTCGATTCATGCCACCTCATAAAATGTTAGTCTAATTTTGACCATCAACTTTAGCTGATGTGTCCCCATGGCAGTCGGTACATGCCACCTTGTCACTCTATCTCTACCTAACCCTTCCTTTCCCATTTAGTGCATTCAAGGGAAAAAAAAACCAGATCAAACACTAAATTGATTGAAGTAGTAGTTTAATAGTTAGTGGATTAGACTGGGATCAACTTGAGATCAAACTAATCATATTAAAATAATATAATTTAATTGAAAATAACAAAATATAATAATATTAATAATAACTAATCACAAAGAAAAGGAGATAAGTTCTCAAATAAACAACTCCTTAAACAAATAATGAGGAAAAAAGGGAAGCTAAAAAACTGTGTTTTGAGAACTTGTTCTTTTTTTTTTAACCCTCTATTATCCACACAAGATCCAATTAAGTGTTATGTAGTGAGTCCACATCACCATTTAATACTGTCTACAATACTTCAACGAATTTTAATTCTGTTATGCTTGCAGCGACTAAAAACTAAAACCACGAGTTTGAAATTTGAGGGACAAAAATCAAAACATACATAAATTTCAGGGACTAAAAGTTATATTAACCCAAACTTTAATTAGGATTTTGAGCTCACTAAACTCAAACTCTCGCATAATTCAATTTAAAAATATTTTATTATATCTTTAACATTTTAATTTAGGGGGGTTGACAATTCAGGACCAAATAATGAAATTAATTTCAGTTTTTGACTTTAAAATTCTAAAATTTCAATAAAGAACCAAAGGTTATTGGGTAATTTGGTTTTTTTTCGGCCAACTAGGTTATTGAGTAATTTGAGACTAATATTTCACAACTCATCACCGATATTCCAAAATCTCGTATTCAAAGATTGATATTTGAGACTTCTGTTAAACTTTGACGCTAATATTTTAAATAGAGAACCAAAAGTCATTAAATAATTGACTCTGGTATATCAAAATCTATGATGCTTTGAAATTTGACACTGATATTCAAAAACCAAATTGTATCTCAACTTCAGAACACGGAGAATCTCACAAAAAAAAAGTTTGAAGTTACTGAATCTCAAATCAAGTTTGGTGAAACACTTTAATAGATTTTGACAATACTAGACTTGTAAATAACAACACATTTTTATTAAAAAAAATTTATTTGAGATTTAGTCATTTTAAACTTCTTTTTGTTTGGTTCTCCCTTTAGAATATCATTATCAGATTTCTGAACATTAATCTCAAATTTTAAAATATTAGACTAAAATTATTTAAGAACTTTTTGTCTTTTATTGAAATTTCTAAATATTTTGGTAATAAATGAAAATAAATTTACATTTTGGTCAAATGCTTTTGTCTTTCCGTATGACATTAGTCACATTTTGCTCAAAAGTTTATTTTCCTATGTATGGTTATCTTCTTATTGGAAGGCAATTATCAAGCACTAAATATAGACACATTTTCTAACGATGATTTAAATATTGGTTCGTCACGTCGTAAGGTGGTCAAATGTTTTTGTATCTTTATATAATATCAGTGTATAACATTCATGTTGTTTTTTGGGAGAATTGCAATCATGTCTGGAAAAAACATAACTACTAAAAATTTTTAATAACAACCTAAACAACTTGTAATGACAAGTTTTATAGTAAAAAATGATGACTTCTAATTGCCATTGAGACTTGTTGGTAGTTTTTTTTTTTTTGGGATTTCATTATAATTCTGCCTAATTTGTTTTGTCATTGTCCCTTTGATTCAAGCTCAATAAAGGCTCAAGCTCCAACATAATAGCATCTTAGATTTTCTCTATACTTCTATTTCTGTTATTTTAGCTTCAAGAAAAAGACATAAAAAAAAAAAAGTTGAAAATTGGAGAGCACCGAAGCTAACTTTCATAATCACCATGTGGGTAGAAATTCCAAAATGAGATTTTAAAATCCAAGTTAACCAAAAACACATGTTCCTTATTTTTCAAAAAATAAAAATTCCCAAGCCATATTTTTGGGCAAATAGTGAGTGTGGGATTTGATCCCACAATCACTTGCATGCTAAAATTAAAGATGACAATTAAGCCACCAAATTTCACGAATATCATAATATAAAAAATTATCTAAGTTAATTCGTTTGTTTTGACTACAGCTTATTCATAACTTTTATAGAGATATTGACTATATTTCATGAGCTGTTAATAATTTTCATCTAGTAAGTAGCAAAGCCAGTGATTATATGTCGTTTACAACTTGTGTACAAATATTTCTTAAATTTTGTTAACAAGGTCACTCTCAACAAGTCAGCCACAACTTGTATGTAGATGTTGACTACATTTCACTAACTATTAACAATTTTTGTTTAATAAGTAACAAAACCTTTTTTTCACATCATTTACGACTTTTGTTTAGGTATTAATTACATTTCATTAACTATAGGGTCGGTCTTAATGAACTCTAACCTAAATGATTCGTGTCTGAAAAGCCTGCTTATCTTAAAGTAGCCCTAAAGTTGAAGCCCAGCCCTCAAATCTACATGTTTCGGTCTGGCCTACGGGCTTTAAACCCTTTCAAAATTTTTAATTTTTTTTTTGTTTTTAAATAGACAAATATAAAATAAAATATCTCATAAATTTTCTAATTTAAATTATAAATATTAGCAAACTAAAGTTTCAAACTAAGTTCAAATAACTAAAATTAAGTCAAATCCAATCGTTGCCTTGAACTCTTATAGAATGTATAGAAAAGTGATCCATGATCGCATATATGTTTTGGTATTTTTGTATTATGTTACATCATGTATTTCATAAAGGATTAACATAGTTTTAAATAAATACTAGTTAAAGAAAAAAGTGAACAAATATAATTATCAAAGTAATTGAAATGCACCTAAAATGGAAAATAATATTATGATTTATGCGGGTTTGAAAAACTCAGTTCTCAATTTTTTTTGGTATGAACAGATATTCTTCTATTAGAAACAATTTTATTCGAGATACTGTTAAATACTCCCTCCGTTCCTTATTATAAGAGACATTTGATGCTTATTGCATGTTCCTATATATAAGAGACACTTAAAAGTTGTCTCTACTTTTTTGTGTTGATTTCCTATTTTACCCATATTTATTGTCTCCAACTCACACTCTCTCTCCCTCCTACTTCTCTTTCTTTTAATAATTTAATTGTTCTCTCTCATGCTTTCTCTCCTTATTAATGAGGGCATTTTTGAGAAAAAAAATTATATTTTTACACATTAATTGTTCTTAACTAATTTTAACTGCTTTTTTTATCAACGTAATTCAGTTATTTGTCTCTTATAATAAGAAACGGAGGGAGTACTAAATATGAATATGTCTCTCAATACAAATTCGAACAACTAGAATTAAAAGGACCCTATCTGTTTTACTGGCCCTATTTAAATGTGGACCAGCCACGCGGAACAACTAGCGGTGGGGGCCTATGTTGGGCTGCTCCAACAAAGGTTATTTCCGAAAATAATGCCCCAGCTTCAGGCCCAAAAGTTCAGGTATTCCAAACGATGTCGTTTAGGAGGGCGCGTAAGTACCCAAGCGAGAAACCCTAACAGGGATAAATATTTGCTCGACAGCTATGTTGCTCCTCTCTGCAGCAGCTTCGCGTCCTCCACGGTTCTGTCTGCTTCAGCCATGGCTACTGCGAGGACTGTTAAGGATGTTTCGCCTCACGAGTTCGTCAAGGCCTACTCGGCTCATCTGAAGAGATCCGGCAAGGTGGGGGAATTTACAGCTTACTTCCTACCCTATTTCTTCTTTGTCTCAATGTTGTGCCAGATGGAATGTTTCTAACTGGTTGTACTTTTATACTTGTGTTTTATGTAGTTTTTCTCAAGTGTGTTTTTGAGATCTTGCTCATTTGATCTTATTGACGTGCTTTGTTTGGGTTTGTGGTCAATGCCGCACTGTTATGATTGACGCCGTGCTGTACTAACTAAATACTGTCTCAATGTTGTTCATTTTCTTCAATTGTTAACATTATATAATGGATGTTGTTGGAAAGGTTTGGCTAATTTTTGGTCATTGTGCTTCAAGCTTGGCACATGCGTGCGCTGTGTTTATTAATCAATTACAAGCCTTAGGCACAATGTCTTTTTAGATTGTATATATGTTTTGGTTAACTAGATTTGATATATCAGGAAATAAGATATGAGCCCGAAAGTGAAGCATGGTCAAGCTATTTAGTTTTGCTTGATTACATTATGCAGTGTACTGCTTTTGGGATTGGGTTGGTGCTCTTAATTCTTGAAGATGACATCAGTGAGGGATATCTCTCTATGATTTTTATTATTGTTTCACTCGGTTCAAATTTGGCTTCCTTACTGAATCTCTTTTTTCTTTGTGCTTGATTATAAATAGATGGAGCCTCCTGAGTGGATTGATTTGGTAAAGACTGCAAGATTTAAAGAATTGGCTCCATATGATCCTGATTGGTACTATATTAGGGCTGGTAAGTACTAAGTAAATATCCTTTTTCTTCGCACATTTATACTGCTAAAGTGTGCAAAGCACATTCTGATATCTGTACTTAATTATGCTTTTCTCCATTTCCTTTTGTATTTGCAATAACTTTTTGTGCTTAATTTAATGCTGATTGCAGCCTCCATGGCCAGAAAAATCTACTTGAGGGGGGGCCTTGGTGTTGGTGCTTTCCAGAGAATCTATGGTGGGAGCAAGAGGAATGGTAGCCGTCCTCGTCATTTTTGTAAGAGCAGCGGTGCTATTGCTCGTCACATTCTTCATCAGCTGCAGGACATGAACATTGTTGAGGCCGACCCCAGTGGGTAAGGAAGAACTCTTTGACCTTTGTCATTTGCGAATCAATAGATGTATTGAAAACTTATTTAAATTTCTCTTCTCTTTTTCTTTACATTTTCATGCACTGACAATGGTTGCATGTGTTGTAATCAAGCACGGGTCCGGTTAGGTTCATGCATCATTTTGATACCATCCACTACTATGATCTACTTTTATGCAATTGCATGAGCTTTATGTTAGGAAATTTGATTGATTGCTACTGCTTTGGTGGATTATAGATTATAGGTTATTGTCCGTTTTCTCTTTTTTGGAAGATTGTTTGTCTTATGAAATATTATTTACTTAATCTTATTAGCTTGATTTAAAAATATTTGCCTATTTTCCCCAAGTCATTATTTGAAGTAAATTGGACTCAAGAACCCAAACTTAGTAGAAATGACATTGAAAGACAAAAATAAAAATTGCTCAGAAGGACCATAGCTATCATTGTTGCCTACCAAAGTTACAACTCGTGTTTCACAAGGTTAATGCTTCCTGAAGTTACAAATCCAGTATGTCCTCGTAACACTTGGAAGACCACAGGATGACTTCAGGAAGCAATAGTGGTAACCCTGGCCTCTTAGAACTTTAATTTTTAAGATCCTTTGACTTGATTCCTATCAAGTTTAGCTCTTTCTTTTCTTATTCTTGGGGTTATTTTTGGCACTTTTCTATCTCGATCTCATGGTCTATATATGTTTGTAATAATTGCATGTTGGTCTAAAGTATTCTTGTGTAACAGGGGCAGAAGAATTACTTCTAATGGTCGGAGAGATCTTGACCAGGTCACTGGTCGGATTGTGGTAGCACCTTGATCTGTGAAACTGCTGATGGAGGCTAGCGTGTTCAATCCAGGTTTCATTTTTTCTTGGGAGTAATGTGACAGCAGATTGTTTGATGAGCAAATTTTGGGGTTACTAGCTTCTGAATTGTCTATTAAGTTGAACATATTTAATGTAATGTTTCTTTTGGTTTTCTAGATGACTTTCTCACTTCACTTTCTTACTTATTTCGTGTCCCATTTTCATCTTAACATTTCAATTGGTTTTGGATGTGGCTTACACTTGACATGGAAAGTTAAGAATCAGACGATTGTCAGCATAAATTTGCGGCTTTCTCTGTCAGCTATACGTCTCGTGCTCGTCCAAACCCGACCACTGAAGAACGCTCTTGTCAAACCAAGCGGTCAGCACTGAAGTAAATAAATATTAATCGAAGTTGGTTTAGTTCAATTCTCATTTACTTTTAATTTTGCTTTTAAGGACTTAAAATTTTTAAATTATGAGAGCATGACAAGTAGGGCCAGTTTGGTTCAATTACAGGTCTTTTCAGATGGTGATATTATTTGGTATGTTTTCAATTACAAAAAGTTAAGATCATATTACCCTGAAGAAAGGTTCTTCAAACTCCTTCCCCATCGTTCTTCCTTTTCATGGCATCATCGTTAAAGCAAACGAGAGTCATCCATTAAAGCCAAACTTGAATCATCCATTGTATACACCTAAATATAAAGGAAATCGCAGAATCGTATCAGGAATTGCTTCAAACCCAGAATTTTGTTTTTTTTTTAATTGAACACTAATTAGAAAGGTCTATCATCTGAGGAATCTGAGAAGGAAATACGAAGGTGAAGAAATGACTATGACTTGCACAAACACTGTCGGTGTCAGAGATCCCATCAGCATCGGAGAAGAAGTGGGTTAGTGAAGGTCCGGCGACGAGCATCATTGTGGCAAAAAGGAGGAAAACAAAGAAGAAAGCTCCGGTGAAAAAGTTGCTAGTCACCGCCTTGCTGGTGTCGCTGCTGGTGGTGACCACGGTGGAGGGAGGGTCGGTGATGGTGTGAGGGAGATGGTGATGTGAGAGAAATGACACGGCAATGTGGCATCTAGGGGCATCAAATGAAAGTTTGAGGGTAGGGTGTGTCATTTCAGATGTTTTGTAAAACAAGGATATAATTGACTTTCCAAAAAAATTTGTGATTATCTTCCATAGGGTCTCCCTTCGAATCAAGATTGTAGCTTTTTGTGCAATCAGCTGATAACAGGAACAATGTATCATCATGAATGAATCCCCACTCCAGAAGAAATTATTATCCCTGTCTGCACTCTTGTCAACCACACAACTAATACTAGTGAACTCCTAAGCTCGCTTGGTTGTTGTGAGTTGTGACTTTGAAAACCTTTGTACATATTTGTTAATATATTCTTTTCCATTAAAAAGAAAGAGAAAATTTCAACAAAAAAAACTGTTGAATTTCAAAATTCTAAATCAGTAATCAGGAATTACTATTAAAAATATGTTGTCATTTGTTTGTTGAGTGTAATTTTTTTTTTACGAGTATAATAACCAATATTGATTTGAAATTTTAAAATTCAACAGTATTTTTTAGAATTTTTTTTTTTTAAAAAAAAAAGGCAACCAAACACATAGTTGTAATGCCGCTTCCCATTAGTCATTACTATTACCATTGATGCATTCCATTTCCATCTAACTAAACGACACGGCGACACCTTAAAGCTTGTCGTAGCTTTTAGGTGAACCCATTGACGTTTGAACTAAGAAAAGAGGCGTCTGCCAAAATGGTCTAGTCCATGAGCCTCAAAACTTGTGGGTTTGTTTGGTTTCTTGTTTTGAAAACAATTTTTTTGTTTTTAAAAACAGAAAACAAAAAAAATTGTTTGATAATTTGTTTCTAGTTGATTGTTTTAGAAACCAAAAAACCAAAACAACTTTTACATGTTTTCTTGTCATTGTTTTTGTATTTTGTATTTTTTGTTTTGAAAATTTTTTAGAAATCTTCTCTTCTCATCTACTATCTACCATTTATCATTACAAGCGACAACTATCATCTATTAAGTGTGGTTTTCTACATTTTTTTTTCAGACATGATTTTTTTAAAAATTATTATCCAAACAAATTCTTTTATTTTTTGTTTTCAGAACTTATTCTTAAAAACAATTATAAAATTATTTTGAGAACAAGAAAACAAAAAACAAAAACAAACAGCCCCTGTTCGTTTCTGTTTTCTGTTTTTCCTATTTTAGGATAGTTTTATAAACTTTTTTTTAAAAATGAGTTTTGAAAAATATATATTTTGATAATTATTCTAAAAAAATACATTTTAAAATTAACTTGGAGAATTGATAGAAGGTGAGAGACAGAGTGGAGAGTGTAGCGATAATAAACGGAGACTTGGATTGGACACTTGAGTAACAATGTAGAAGAGTGCAAGAGACAACGCAGGAATCGTGACCGTAAGTGAGAAGAAAATTTTTTTAAAGTGACAAAATAGAAGGAAAATTAGAAAATAGTAAAACATGTAAAGGTTGTTTGGATTTTTTTTGTTTCCAAAAACATATTTCTATTTTTTTTGTTTTACAAAATACTAAGTCAAAAATTAACAACCAAACAAGTTTTTTTGCTTTTAAAAACCAAAAAAATTTATTTTTCTAAAACAAGAAAAAGAAAAAGGGTTAATATAAATTTTGGTGCGTAATGTTGGTTCAGTAACATGTTTTAAAATTAAATAGAAACCCGAAAGAGAAAATGCACAAGCATTCTGTAATCACGGGCAATAAAGGCATGTTTCTAACCATGGCTTATGTGTCCATGGCATAAAAGGTCAACTGTCTTTAAAAAAAATTGAAGACAACACTTGTAATGATTAAATAATAGGTGCTGAAAAGAATACCCAAAAAAATTTTTAAAAAAAATGTTGAAAATTTTGTGTGTTGACTGTGGTCTCAATTGGAAGTTTTCATGATTTGGTTCCAATCAATACACATTGAGGCAAAAATAAAAATAAAAAAGGAATCAATAAATATTCCATGTGCCAACCCCCTTTTAACTCAAATGAAAAATCAAAATGTAATGTGATTGTTGAAAAGTAAGAAATTCAATAAAAAGAAGTTTTTATTTCAACTTTAAAAATCAAAATATTCCATGTGCCAACCCCCTTTGAAAGAACAAATTTTTTTTCTTTTAAGAGAATGCATGTGTGTGTAAAATTGTAAGTGGATTCTGAAAAAAAAAAATATTGATTTTGGGTTTCAAGAATTTTTGATGAAAGGGTAAAGAACTTGATATTATATTCATTAATTGTTGTCAAACTCGTGAGTTGACTCTCCGAGTTTAACGTTTTTACATTTTCAACTAACAAAATCGTATTGATTTACTCTTAAACTTATGATAATTGTAAACTTGGTTAAACTTATGAGTTTATTTACCGAGTTTACTGTTTTTACATTTTTAGCTTACAAAATCGTGTTAACTCGTTCTTAAACTCGTGCTAAATTTTCTGATTTGATTATCTTTAGAGACTTTGTATATGAATTTTATAAAATTTTCTTTGTTAAATGTGATAAATTATTAACATTGATGAATATAATTTTAATTATTTAAATTTAAAATATATTTAAATAAAATTGTTCTCGTTCTTTATATATTAATTATTTGATTATATACTTTTAATACCAGTCTATTAACAGAAGTAAACTTTTATGAGTTTACAATTCGAGCTTATGATCTGAATTTATATTATTATCACGACTTTGTTTAAACTCGTGAATTTAACAACTTTGGTTATATTGCTTTATACTAAAAAAAAACATATCTTAGTGATTTATATATTTTAAAATTTTAAAAATATAATTTAAAATTGGATCAAAATATGGAAAGTTTACAAAATAATTATTCGAAATACAATCACATCAAATTAACAAAATCTTTGCGAACCAAAAAGAGATAATATTATTATTATCAAACATACGTGCATCATCCAGATTCGAATCCCTTTGATTAAGGGAGCCCTCCTCGCATCATAACATATTATATATAATTTTTTAAAAAATTATAATGATTGATTCAAACAATCATCTTCAAAATTAATAATGTTAGCTTGAATCTAGAGAATTAAAAAGAGATTTTGTAAAATTTGAATAAAACTTGGAAAAGAAAAAAAACAAGGGTACTACTCCATTGCATACTCCATCTTCAATTTGTTTTCACAACGCAATAAATTAGACTTCAAATTTTCACTAAAAGATGTACCAATTACCTACTTTTGATATCCAACAATATTTTGAATAGAATTGCTTTCACTAAAAACATACATGTGCCTATCAAGAAAATCTATCTTGAATATAATTTCTGGCATCCAACAAGAACTAATTAAAATTTTGATATTGAATTTTGTGTATATCAAAAAGAAGTAACTAAAACCCAAAAAAAATTACGCAATATGGATTGAAAAAATCAAACCAACTAGAAATGGTGTAAAAATCTAAATTGACTTAACTAATGATTTCGAATAATCTAAATCAATTTTTCTCCGATATAATTAACAACATTTTGTTTCCCATTTTCTGGGTTTCCAGTATCATATCCTCACAAAGAAGACACTGAGCTCAGGGCCATGGTTGCCGTCCGGCATCATCATGTAATAAGTCTCCGAGTCCTTTGATCCGATGACTCGCTCGAAATTTGCCCTCATGTACGAGAGATCGCCGTCTTGTGGGTCCGCCATCTCGGCCGGCAGAACGCCGACGCCGGTGGACACGGCATGAAGTAACTGCATGACGCTCAGGTCATCTTCGCTGGGCTCTCTCTTCACACCATAACCATTTTTCTTGCCGTTGCAAAACAATGTCCATATTGGCTCGTCGATGATCTTCGTCTTCTCGTTCGGGCGCTTCTCGCATTCTAAGGCTATTCTCATAAGCCCCGTTCCCATGTCCTGAATCAGCTTCGACGTCGGAATGGCGAGTTCGAGAAGAAGAAACGGAAGGCACTTAGGGTTTTCCTGGAAAGCAAGGTTAATCCTAGCTTTCCGGTGTCCGAATAGGGTTCCGGTGACCCTAATCCCTCCGTGAATGTACTTGTCGGTTCCCTGGTGGCCTCCGGCGAGCGAGACCGGGAACTTGCATGATGACGGCGTGATGATCGGGAATGACCGGAAAACTGAACGGAACTTTCGGAATAGTTTGTGGGATTTTGTTTGCTGTTGTTTGATATTTGCTGGTTGTAAGGAGATAGCTGGTAGCCGGCTTGTTGCCGAATCTCTATCCGGCGTGAGGGAGGAGGCGATGGAGTTAGTATCCGCCG